TTTCCTTGGCGTCTACGTTCGAGCAATTTTGATTTATTCTTGTCTAATAGTGTTATTAGTCCTTCAGTCGGAAATCAGATCTTTCTCGACATTATCGAATACATACCAAAGAGCGACCCTACCATTGTACTGTCAGAGGCTGCAAAAGAACTTTCATTCAACGCAGTGCTTTGAAAGTTCATTCACGGATTCACACCGGCGAAAAGCCACACGTCTGTTATCAAGAGGGATGCCAGAAAGCCTTTGCGGATGTGAGCCGTTTAGCTCAACCTGCAACTAGAAATTGATCGCTGATCAGTATACAACAGTCTTCTAGTCTGTCTCGTCATCGGAAGACCCACGCTAGTAACAGGTCATATATATGTCAGCAGCAGAATTGCATGCGAAGGTAACTTATCTGGTTAATTATATGTAACATCACAGTCTAAGATCAAAGATGAACTAGATTTCGTCGTAAAGACACGCTCAACAGACATTGGCTTCGTTTTCACAAATCTCTGCTTTCGGCGCAGCCATCTTTGTCAGACGAAGACTTGGGTTGGCCTAACCAGAATCAAATCCCTTTGACCATCATGAGCATGGATGCGTGCCAGAACATTCTACACCCGTGGCCATCCGATCTGCAGCCTTCAATGCCACACCGTCACAGATGTTATTCGCAGAAAGACACGGCGGTATTCTCGACGCCAGGTTATCAGTGTCAACCGCCAATTCAGATTCAAAATGTTCTACCAGCACTGCCAATGAATGTTGTATATGCACCCGATCAGTACGGACAACAGTATTTAGATCTCTGGCGCATGGAACGGTACATGCACCCTCAACCTCCTATGGCGCCAAGTCTGTTTTACCTGCCAGTTTGGTGTAGCGCAGAGTCATCACTCGAGCACCCGGAACACAGTGGCTCCCTCGAATAGACATGATGACTATATTAGACCTGTTACGCTTAATTGAGGGATAATTATTGCAGCTTGGCTGTTTGGTCTCGTTTGAAATATTTAGCTATTATTGTATTTCCGATATTTTTGTTTCTCAAGGGACTTTTTTGAATCGCCTGCTATACCAAGCACCTTGGGATCTTTTTCAACACTCAGTACTATCTGGCCGCATTCCTCGCGAATTTTTACTTGGATATTAACAGCCATCTGGCCAATAAAATCCACAGGTCCATATGCCCGCCCGAGGAACATTCTCATGTCAATATCTTCAAGGATTACCTCAGGCTAAGGGTTTGATTCGCTCATTCAAGCTATGGATTGCCTTGAAAAGCCTCATGATACAAAATCAAGGCTTCACAAGGCAATAATTCTCCCACTTGCTGCTATATGGCATTAAACTGATCCCGCAGGTACTGCATATGACCATTATAGCTCATTGAAGCCATCAAAGACGAACGGGATTATTTATAAATTAGTTTCAAGCTGACAACAAATGCCGATCTAACTGTTTTCCTAATATACAAGGCAAACAAGGCCTCGGTTATCTTCCCAACCCGCCCAGAGTAAGCTGTGGGTGAGCCTCTTATCGGAACGAATATCAAGCACAATCGGTCGTTACCTACGACCACTATGGAGAGAACAATTACAAGTCGAGCCCAAATATATTTGGTTTCAAACCAGAGTATCAACCCTCGGCAAATGCAATGTGTCGACATTGAGCAGGCTCACAGTTTCCATGCTAGCGAGGCTTTTAGAACCACCACAAAGCGGCAAGACATCGCTGCCATGGTCATTCGTACGAATGAACCCTCACACCCCTTCGTTTCGACTGTTAATAGCAGATTGCCATCGCTGACTGAAATCATATCCCAAAAACTGCGTTTTATGTCGACTGCAGGTGAATGGACTCCTCAAGGTAACTTTCCCCGAAGGCTACCTTTTGATTGTGGCGCTGCCTTGTCGGCCTGGCCACCTTTAATGCCTCCGGCGAGCAGATTGGAGCGGCAACCGTATCCTGTGAGTCAAAACCTTTCTCCAAGTAACTCGGGAATCGGAAATGGGCTAAACAACACAATAACCCCAGCTTTCAAGGGCCTCATACCCCTGTGATCCTCTCTGGTTGACGTGATGCTATCACTGCGTCAAATGAGGCTATGCGATCGAAGTACGCCGTGACTTTGGAGATTTTCCTTTTGCGGAAACAGACTTATGCAAGTCGGCTCCCCACGCTAGAATAGATGTACCATGTGCTTAACCCTCAGAAGAAGCCTCGGTCAGGATGCTGTCAATTCAGCCTTGAAGGTGATCTGGGTACGCCCCCCCCCCCCCCCCACTGCGTATTTGGTTCTTAAAAAGAAGGGGCTAACACGGCGAGAGCAAGTCAGAGGAGGGAGTCAAAAACTAGTCCGGATGCAACATTGCATGATCAGCCCAAATTTTTCCGCTGAACCGAGTATGAGTGACAAGGCCTCTTCGTGACTTAACAGCCGTGCTGACAAGCAGCCAAGGTTGCGCGGGGACAACTTACCCCGACCAAAAACCCTCGATATCTGAAGTCGGCCTTCAGGAATGCGATACTTCGTCTAATCGTCGCAATGCACGGGCTTTTCATGTGCACAACCGCCAATGATTTGGTATCAAATCACTATTCCAGAAACCGACCTCGCCCATATTTGATTCATTTTCCAAGCGCCCTCGAGCCGGGGAGGGGGTCCCCCAGAGACCCCTTTATGGGAGTTGGCGAGGCAATTTCCAATTGCCGGGCGTCCCCCCATAAGCTACGGGCAAGAATCGCTCATCAGCGTGGTCCTCTACCACTTCCTTATACCCTAATCTGCAAGGGTAACCGCCACCCAAGCAATACAATGGGTAAAATGCACCCGCATAGGTGCTTCAGTGTCAGATTTGCAGCCAAGTCGGAATCATGCATTCACGGATGGTTCATAGAGACGACTACCCTTTTCCCTGAGCCATAAAGCTAAGTCCACCTAGAATTTCCGCATCGGGTGCCCAAGCTCTCAAAAAGTAAAAGTTTGCTTTGGAGTCAGGAGTTGAATTTCCTCCCGTACCTGGTGGAAGTTCTTGAGTATCAATGCTCATATCCCAGGGGTGATGCTACATGAACAGCAATGCGTCAATAAACAAGGGACTAACTATCCTTCCTCGATAACCCGCTCGCACACTAGCTGGATTAAAGGCAGCGCCCAGTCATCCCAAGGATTTCACATCGTGCCAAGAGTTGAGAGCGGAGACTTCGCAAGCTTCCCCATAATTGAGTACAGGAGAGCCAGAGTCTCCTGAGCGCAGAGACCGGCTCCAAAATTGAGTTTGAAGCTCTGAGAACTTGGGGTTCAATGCTGCAATCTTTGCGGCAAGTTTGAATATACTGAATTGCAAGGGTCAGATCGAAAGATTGGGCGTCGCTATAGAGTATCGCAAAGCTAAGACCGCTGAAATTGGATTTCATTTCGGGTCTGTTGATGGATCACGCCTGTGGATGAAGACCAGCCATCTTACTGTCTGACTGCCGACAGGCCGTCGACAGGTGTTGCGCGCAAGAGCATGGGAGAGTGGTACAAGACCACAGTGGCGGGAGAGTCTTGCCCGTCGCCTATGGGGGGCACCCCCGGCAATTGGACATTGCCTCGCCGACCCCCGTAAAGGAGGTCTCTGGGGGACCCCGCCCCCGGCTCGAGGGCGCCCAAGAAATGAACTAAAAAATTCGCATTGAGTGTAGACATCATCGTAATAAGGATGGGTCTTTCTGATAGAATCGAGCAACTTATCCCTCCCCCAACTCAAACCGTTGTCATCCTGCACGGATGCGCAAGAAAATTCCCGAAGGGATTACGACAGACCGTGTCAAACATTATTGACAAATCACCGATCAATAAACATGTGCTTGGGACCTCTTAATTATCTTTTGAGACGACACTGGTTATTTCAGGATTTGGGGCAGCACGGGAGGAGCCAGAGGGAATTTCTGGCTTAATACTGCTTGCTGTAACTGACACTTAGTGCAAAGTTTTACCTATGGGCTCTAAGAAGACACAGTACTGGATATATTATGACATGTATAGTAGATCAGCGATAGTTGCCCTTCCGGGTTAGGCGCCAGGCGCTAATAAATTTTGTGTATGTGTGTACAATTTTAAGTTCCGAAACTGTTGTTGCTGCTGCTAAATTTTGTGACTCACACAGTAAACTCACAAATGCCACCATAATATTGGCAAAATGTAGCAATATATTCTGAGAGCCACAACATTGCAGCAGACAATCATTTCTACGAAGGGAAGTGATACAGTAAGCTCCATCTATTCATGGGAGATCAAAGATTCTATAACATCAGGCCATTCACCTCAACGTCTTACGTCTTATGTCTCTTGCTAAATGAAAACTCAAATTTGCCTCGCAACCACGATTCAAAGACGTCAGGAATTCCGTGACGACGGCTGTTGCTGCAATGAGCCCAGCAATTTAAGAAGAGTGCTTCGCAGCCTAGGACCTGCGTCACTAAAGATCCTTCGGCGCTGCCGAGAATAAGTGACCCCGCAGGATGAGCTCTGCGTCATCAAGTGTGCTCCGCAGGGGGGCGCTGCGTTAACAATTGAACCCCGCAGGAAGAATGCTGCGTGAACAAGTGTTCCCTCACAGCCAATGAGCCCTGTGTTGTATAAATGTGCTCGGTCTGCCAAGGCCTGTGTGGCCACCAGCGTCTTGTCACGATCCTCTAGCAATGTGCAAGCACCTCTTCGTGGTGCTAGAGACCAGTATTCGCCTGCTTAACCGAGCAGTCGAGGAAGCCAAGCCTTGCACAACTCCTTCCACGAACATACATTCAATTCAGATAGGCAAACGATACCAATGCAGATGTTAATTTTTTTTTTTTTTTCTTTCTTTTCTTTCTTTTCTTTCTTTTTTTCTTTTCGTAGAAAATTAAGTTCATATACAGTGCAGAGAAGCGTTTACTGCCTTCAAATATGCACGGCAATGTTCATTCATTAATCCTAGGATTGTGTAGAAGAATCCGCGATGAATCGCGACGAGCCGCGGCGAGGACTGTCATGATGAGATCAACGCCCGTGGAAGTAGTGTATCGTTTGCTATGCTAATGTGCTGAGGCGGATGTTGACGAGCGTTGATGAGTGTTGATGAGTGTTGATGAGTGTTGATGAGTGTTGATGAGTGTTGATGAGTGTTGATGAGTGTTGATGAGTGTTGATGAGTGTTGATGAGTGTTGATGAGTGTTGATGAGTGTTGATGAGTGTTGATGAGTGTTGATGAGTGTTGATGAGTGTTGATGAGTGTTGATGAGTGTTGATGAGTGTTGATGAGTGTTGATGAGTGTTGATGAGTGTTGATGAGTGTTGATGAGTGTTGATGAGTGTTGATGAGTGTTGATGAGTGTTGATGAGTGTTGATGAGTGTTGATGAGTGTTGATGAGTGTTGATGAGTGTTGATGAGTGTTGATGAGTGTTGATGAGTGTTGATGAGTGTTGATGAGTGTTGATGAGTGTTGATGAGTGTTGATGAGTGTTGATGAGTGTTGATGAGTGTTGTTGAGTGTTGATGAGTGTTGATGAGTGTTGGTGTGGGTGGGTCGCATGTTAAGATTCCGCACGACACGATGTTCCCCACCCGGGGCTCTTTTAAGGCTTTTACTTCCCAGAAACCCCCTTGCATCACAAAATTATCATTTCAGTGAATCATTTCCTTGCGATTTCAGTTTCTTAGCATGGCGAGCCCCAAAATCTCTGCGAGACGACGTGGCCAAGCTTCTTGTCAGGCGAGGCCCAACGTCAAGCCTTGTCCTGAAAAATCGGATGGCCCTGCACGATTGACAGTCTTAAGTCCCACAAGTAAAGAATTGGTCTGCTTCTCTTCTCCCATCGTATCTGTTCTCTCTCGGCTGTATATCGCCTTTTTGATCTCCTTTTAAATTGCAGTCGCGCGTTCTTCCTGTCATTTTATCTCTTCTCAGATTTGGCGTTCGTACACTGACAGTAACAAATTCCAGGAGCACGGGACGACAAAAGGAATTCGCAGAAATGACCGAAAAGCAACATACAGAAAGTGCCTAGCGGTCGTCAGACAAATTGAAGAGGAATTTCCAATCCTGCCACCCTTGGGAGCTTCTTCTTCTCGAACAAGGGGGAATGGTACTCATTCTAGGCCTACGGGCGATCATGCTCTACGTCATCCTTTGGAAAATCCCAGAGCAAAATCCCCGAGATAGGAGATTTTGTCGACTACAAACGTGCAGTGGTTCAAACCCATGGTTTCGGTCTCGGGCAAGTTGAGGATGACGCCGGCGTAGTTCGAGTGCCGTATTGCCAATCCTTGTACCGTGATAGTTTGCTGTTCAGTAGGATCCCCTCGTCATAACGAAATGCGGCATCTGCCATTGAGGCGTAAAGTAGAGAGAGATGTGGGTTTGATGTGAGTGTTATGGCGAGATACGTATATTCGACAGGACCGCAAATTCCGCGAGTACGAATCCCCCAAAAGTCACGCATTTGTGTTCGTGTCCGACCCCTACAAATCTGTGTCTGACCAAGTCTATGACGCAGTGCCGGTGCGCCTTTTTTTTCATTTGAATGATTGGCTATAGGAACGGCCTGATCATTATGATGAAGTACTTATAAAATTTTTTCAGGCTGAGTGCTTTATACGTCGACCCAAACTATCAGTGAGGTAATTAGTTCCCGCGCTATACACCAGGGGCAACCTGATTTGGTTTGGTGGATAAGCAGTGGTCCCCTCGTCCGCGCCCACATTCGCAGTTTCGCACTAAGTGCGCACCGCGACCATGAAACCTTCCGTCGGCAGAAACTTTAGGATTTTCCCACGCCGAACCTACTTGGCTTCCCAATCCTCGATCGAGAAATTTTCTCTTCCCTGCAAACACCCTTGAGGACACCTACACGAATGGCTGCACAGAGAGCGGCTTGGCTTGATGATACGCGAAAGCGAACACGAGAACTCGGATCTTCTCTATAAGCGATCTTATTCGCAACTTGCCACCGTCCATACCAAGTTGGGGTCCCTGGAAGAATGTCAGCCCCACCACCCAGCTGCTTTCTCTGTCCGATAAGTTCATTGGATCACTCAGCTCTCGCGCCGTTAACCTAGTTCGTAAGCATACTTGGCTTGATAGCATTTGATTTGGTTTGCCTGGACCCAGCGCAGATCATATCATTCCTTTATGATCGACCAAATTTGGAGTTCAGGCCAATCGTGTGGCTTGGCTAATTAGAAACGAAGACAACAGAAGAGGCGGAAGGGTCTCGGCTGGCTTTCGGCTGAAGGGATTGGATGCGGACTATAGATTCTAGACCGCGAGATTTACGGACTGGTTGCGATATTTCAATCGTAGGATATAAATATAAGATCCTATCAGCACCAAATTTACCCGCTCTAACTTGACTTTGTGATTATTTTCATAGCAAAATGAGCAAGACGGCGTCCATCAGTATCAAGGACATCAATCTCATCCCTATTGGATCATCCCATCCTACCATGTTCGTCTACGGCCTCAAGAAACGCCTGAAAGCGCTTAAAAAAATATGGGGACCCCTCATGCCGGCCAAAGAGCACTTGGACGATGAGTACAACTTTCCTCCAGGCAGGTATGCCGGCCAGGATGACGACAACTTAACTCAGCCATGGTGAGTGTTCATAGGTTTGAATGGCACTGGAGCTTTCGTCTAACAGCATTTCCAGAATCTGCAGCAGTTAAAACCTTCAAGGCGACATTGGAGTGGTTATAGCCCTTGGCAACTGCCCAACGTCAAAGCTAAGATTTCAGAAGGATGTAATATTGTTGAATAATAGATAAGGTCTTTAAATTACCGGCGATCACTGTTGTTGCACACTGCCCTAATAGATACCTAAATATCACATGGTCTACAAATTATTACGAACATCCCTTGATGACATGACTTTGCATATTTGAAACTCTCAGGGGTAGATTACCAGTAGAGCCTGTTTTGGCCAAATTCACAGGCGAGGGGCTTGCTAAAAAGCAAGCCCCCGGATTTAAAAATGCATTCAGAACAGACAGGAGACAGCCTTGAAGAAGGCAGCTGCTTACAAGACCTTACCGATTCGCTCATCATCGACAAAAACGTCTTTGCCTGATTCCTCTGCATTGGTATCGAATAAGGGTACTATTGCTGGGACTGTTTTCCCCTTTCCGCACATTTGACTAACTGTAACGTATCTCATTGAGAATACTGATGATTTAATTACTTAATTCATGTAGTTGCTTCCGCCATGAATGTGGCTAGTGATTTTATTATATACCTTTATGCGAATCATATGGGGTTGGTTGTTTTGTAGCGATGCGCAGCTTTTGTGCTGCTGGATCTCGGAATAAAAGTAAGCTATGCAAAAGTTGATCTGAAGCATACATCCTATTTGGGATCGATTCAGCCAAGGCAGAGTGGCGGATCATCGGATTATCGGTGATGGTGATCTACGTTGGCTATGTGGACTATTAATATTACCAAAATGGACCGGGGCAGGACGGGAATGGCAGATGGGGGTTTCCCGGGGCAACAAGCCGGCACTGGATTCTCGGCAATCTGCCGTACGCGTCCTCTCCACATGGTCGCTAAACCCAAATCAGGTTGATCTGCAGGGACTATAGACTCCCAAGATGGACAGAAAGACGAAAACAATTGGATTCTCTGTTTCTGGATTCGGTTCCATGGAAATACTCTTGAGGTTCCACTCGAAATGCTCCATTTCTCCATATGGATTATTTGGTCACATCGATCCGCTGCAACTCAATTTCGTCCTTCCCCCCTTTTCCCCTTTTATACCGACAAAATAATCTTCTGCGGGTTCTGAATAGTCTCCACGTTTTGTTCTGCTATATAAATATAATTTCGTGTCTGGGTGCTTCATCCATGATAGTGGCACAAACAAGAGTTTCAAAGTCACGACTACAAGCGTCCAGATTGACTGGCCCACGCTCCAAGAAGGGGAGAGAATTTCGACGGTCGTGATCTCGCCCACTGAAAGGTACGTACACATAACTTATCTGAATATGATTGTTTCAGTCCTGAAAGCCTTGGCTTACTCGCCTCTCCATCGTTTAAGCTTTAAGTTGACAATTTGATTCCAGATATTCAATGGTACTTGAACCACGGCATTATGGGGTGTTTGAGCTTGAAACCCGCGCCGGACTCAGCAAATGATGAAGCACTGCAGCGCAATGCTACAATCGAGAAGCTCCTAAAATCCGACAAGAAAAACATGGCCAGGACTATGAAGCTCTTGTTGCTTGGTGTGTATAGACGATAGTATTCCGCAGGACCACTAATTCGGATTTTAGGTGCCGGTGAGTCAGGAAAGTTGACAATCATCAAGCAAATGCGCATTATCTACTCAGAGGGGTTTTCCGAGGATGAACGCCGCCAGACACGAGCAGTAGTTTATTCTAGCATCATCGTCGCATTCAAAGTATTGTTGGATATCATGAGTGTAAAGAATATCGATTTCGAGACTACGAGGGCCAGAGTAATTTCATACCCCTAGGGCCCTAGCTGCGTTCACCCTCTTTTCTCCTTTACTTTCATCTGATTCAAGGGTCATTTCAGTTATCGGGCAGCTTCATCGATAAAACAGAGCCCGGTGTGGACTCCGGTGGACCGTCCTTGGATACAGCGGTTTGTGACGCATTGAGAGATATGCGTGAGGACTCAGGGGTTCGGGAAGCCATCGAACAGAGTCACGGTCTCGCTTTACACGATAACCTGCTTTAGTGAGTTGGCTGAGTTAGTCCAATTATTTACGACGCTGATTGATGTGAACAGTTTTTATAATTCCTTTGATCGCATCCCCACTCCCGGGTGGCTCCCCGACAATCAGGACACGCTGCAAGCACGGCTCAGAACAACAGGAATCACCGAATCCTACTTCGAATTAGGCCATATGAATTGGCGGATGAAAGACGTGGGCGGACAACGATCAGAGCGAAAGAAGTGGATCCATTGCTTCGAGGATGTTGGGTGTCTTATTTTCGTGGTTGCTCTATCCGGCTACGACCAGTGCCTGGTTGAAGACCAGAATGCTGTAGGTGTATTTTTTGACTCTACTATCCGATCGAAGCCCCTAATGCAAAATTACTCTTCCAGAACCAAATGCACGAGGCGATGATGCTCTTCGACTCGTTGGCCAACAGCAAATGGTTCAAACGCAAACCCATAATTCTGTTCTTGAACAAGATTGATCTATTCAAGGAAAAGCTTGCCATTTCACCTGTCTCTACATATTTTCCAGATTCAATGGCTCGAATAAGGTCTTTGGTGGTGCTGCTGCATATTTCGCCGACCGTTTTCGTGGCATTAGTGTTGTGATATAAGGCTGGTGCAGATCAGGAACCAAGCCGTCCCATCGGAATTAATGCCGAAGTATCTATTTCCAATCAACTTGTTCGTCTCGTTGTATATATAGCCTCATATTTCCCTTTATATGATAATAGCAATTAATCTTCCTTTGAACTACAACAGGTTATGAGCCCGGCAGCAAACTCTTGAGTGCCGTATCTACTCATCTGAGAAACAATTTATCTTTCTATCTTGATTATATATATCATTCCTACCCCGCTTTCAAATCAGTCTCATCATGTCTGCTCTGGTCCAGGAGTCCCCAGATCGAGCCGTCACGGCCATCGAGCCTCTGACAGGAAGCGATAACTTCGCTACCTGGAAACGTCTCATGACCTCCTACCTCAAAGCGAGACAGGTCTGGGACGTGGTGTCGGGCGACCTTCAGCGTCCCGACTGCCTTTTCAAGTACGCCAAACCTATTACGGCGGACATCCACCCATTGGTGGAGCCCCACCTCAGTGGGGCGGTGAGGCAGCGCGCCATCGATGCGCGCCTCGAAGTGGAGGTCCAGGCGTTCGAGCGTCACCGTGAATGGTCGCGCCGCGAAGCCGAAGCCTACCACACCATCTTCCGATACCTGTCCCCCCACATCAGCATTCACGTCGCGGGGCTCGAGACGTCTCGTGACCTCTGGAATGAACTTGAAGAACGGTATCGGCGGATGGAACTCGCCACGTTCTGCGAGCTGTTTGCCCAGTTGCGTGAAACCACTGGTGAGCGCTGCGGCAGTGCGCGGGAATTTGTCGATCGGGTACGAATGTTAGTACATCGGTTGAATGCTATTGTCCCGGGATCTATCGGTGACCGGACGCACATCGCGATCCTGTTGACGCAGATCGGACCGGAATACATCTTGATCGTGGACGCGATCCAGAATGACAAGGATCCAGTCAACCCGACCACGATCGGAAACCGTCTGGCAAATGCTGAACAGACGGTGCAGCGAAAGGACGCAGCGATGCTCCCGCACGGGGTTCCTGGCGGACCGAGAAGCCCCTCAATCAATACAGTGCAGAAGAACACTAAGAAATGCAACTACTGCAAGAAGCGCGGACATGTCGTTGCGCAATGCTGGAAGAAACAGCGAGAAACGCAGCCGTCCAGGGACCATGCCCTGAAGGCCGAGAGGAGTGTTTCGGCTCACCAAGAAATAATTTGCAAATGATACCATCAAGCCAGATGGCAGATCGGCAGGGCCCGCCGACTTCCAAGAGACCGAGGATCAATATCGTCAGGGCGAGGGTGACGACCCTTTATACCCACGCACCGCAACCCCGGTGGATCCTGGACTCTGCCGCTACCAGCCACATCCGCTGGGACCGGAGCTGTTTTACCAGTTTGCGGCCCCACCGCGAGGTGTTGGACACGGCGGGCGATCCAGTAAAAGCCGAAGGGATTGGTACGGTGAAGCTCACGCTCCGGGAGAAGTTTAACCAACCCCTGGTGTTGAAGAACGTGTACTTCGTGCCACGCGTCGGGATGAACCTGATCAGTGTGCCGAAGCTGTTGCGAGACCGCTACTCGGTGGTGGCGCACCCGCAGAACGTCTTTGTGCAACGCCGAGGACGAACCGTGGGGACCGCCTACCATGCGGAGGAGGATCTGTTGATCCTGCGGTGCCACGTGAGCAAAAGATCTCGAGAGCGAGTCCAACTGGCGAGGGCGCCGATGACCCATGACCATGCAGATTCCCTGGAACCGCAGGCGGTGGTCATGGACGTCGACGACCCTGAGGAGTCAAGTGGCGTAAGATGCGCATCGCCAACCTCTGAACTCGGTGGTGAAGCACGGATGCTCGAAGCAGATGCTCGCACAGGAGTGGACCAGGCCTCCGAAGCGCTGTGGCACGCTCGGATGGGACATCTGAACCGGGGCGACTTAAGGGTGGTCCTCCGGCAGACCGGCACTCCGTACCGACCGCTGACGCAGGCGCAACTGCAGGCAACGCCGCAATGCCCGGCGTGCATGTCGGGTAAGCAGCATCAGAAGAGGAACTCCCGCGCAAGACGGCCATGTCTGCATTCAACGAGAATTTTTGAATTGATCCACTCGGACATCATGGAGATGCCGATCGCCAAAGATGGTAGCAGGTACGTGATCACCTTTACTGACGATTATTCTCGGGGCTCATGGGCGTATGCCATGAGATGGAAACATGAAGCGCTGCAGAAGTTCCGACAGTTTGAGGCCTGGGTGCACGGACAGTTCGGCGCCCAGATTAGAAGATTCCTCACCGACAATGGTAGAGAATATCTGCCGATCGGAACACACCTCGAAAGCCAGGGAGTCGAGTTTGACACCTCGCCGCCATACTGCAAGGGGCAGAATGGGCTGGCCGAACGCACGAATCGCACTATCCGGGAGCGGATCAACACGCTCCTGTCCGATGCGAACCTTCCTCCTTCCTGGTGGACCGAGCTTTTGGACACGGTGGTCTATCTGAAGCTGCGCGCCCCAGCATCGATTCTGCAAAAGAAGACACCGTATGAAGTGATTTACGGGACGCCGCCCTCGCTCTTGCATCTGCGACGGATCGGCTCCCGTGCCTGGGTGTTGATCCCAAAAGAGCATCGAGCCAAACTCGGACCGAGGTCGTTCGAGTGCCGACTGCTAGGGTATTGCGACCCCAACCAGTACAAGCTGTACGAAATCCATTCTGGAAAGACGGTCTTCTCCCGTGATGTCGAGTCCGATGAGAGGACCCCCGTGGCGCCATTCATCGAGGGGGGAACAGGCAACGACCTCCCGGACAACGCTCCTCCGTCGCCTGTCTTTTCATCGATCCCACGCTTAGCCAGCGGGCTGCCAACACCTCCTGCATCGCCATTATCTCTGTCGAATGGGCAAGAGAAAATGCCCGAGGAGATCCCTCCAGTGGTCAATCCAATCGAACAGGGACTTGACGTGACCTCGGATCTTGGGTACTCAATCTACGGTCGCCGACGAAGACCGTCACGGCGTCTTCTGGAGTCACTCGGCAAAGTGTACTCGACAGGCGCATTGAAGGCCATTTCGGACAGACAAGTCGATCCGGTGACCTTTGGCGAAGCTGTGTCAGGCGCAGACCAGCTGGACTGGTGGGCCGCTATCCAGAAAGAATATGCGTCGCTTCTCGAACACGGCACTTGGGAAAAGATCCGGCGACAAGACGTTCCGGCCAGTGCTCATGTGATTGGCTGCAAATGGGTCTTCAAGACCAAAGCGAACGGGATGCGTAAAGCGCGGTTGGTTATCAAAGGCTACCGGCAGAAACAGGGCGTCGACTTTCATGAAACATTTGCGGCTGTTTCCAGGATGGACTCAGTCCGATGCATTGTCGCCAGCGCCGTGCTACGCGGATGGAAACTCCACCAATTTGATGCTGTCACCGCCTTTCTTCATGGAGATATCGACTCATCTATCTATATGGAGCTGCCCGAGGGCTTTGAAGAGCCAGGGTACGTATGTCAGCTGCGCCGTTCACTGTATGGTCTGAAGCAGGCTCCGCGGATTTGGTACCAATGCGTCCACCGCGTCCTGGCTTCTCAGGGTTTCACTATGGCCCAATCGGACAACTGTGTGTTCTACAAGCCGCACTGTGTCGTTTGTGTTTATGTCGACGATTTTCTTGTTGCTGCCGCGGATGCACATGCCATCCAACAGGTGCAGCAAGCATTGCAAGCGGAGTTCCAGCTCAATGATCTGGGTACCCCACAGTCATTCCTCGGGATCCAGTTTGACCATCATGTTGACGGGTCTATATCCATTCACCAGAGCCAGTACATCCAGAAGGTGCTCTCCGACTTTGGTATGGAGACCTGCCAGCCGAAGTCTACGCCGATGAATCCTAAGCAAAGCCTGAATTCTCGCCCAGAGGAACCTCCGGATGAAGAAGCAAAATCTCGCTACGCGATCGCTATTGGCTCGCTCATGTATTTGATGGTTGGCACGCGACCAGACATCGCGTTTGCGCTAGGGATGTTGAGTCGCTTCACATCTCAGCCACAATCGCATCATCAAGTCGCCCTTCAGCGGCTGCTACGCTACGTCAAAGCCACACAATCATACCGGATCACCTACCGCAGTGGGCAGCTAATTGGATACACAGATGCCGATTTTGGTGGCTCTGTCGTCACTGACGGTGCCTACTCAACATCTGGATATGTTTTCCAACTTGCAGGTGCGCCAGTTTCCTGGTCGTCCAAGAGACAGGGGGAAGTGGCCACATCTACGACTCATGCCGAGTACATTGGCCAATACAATGCCATTTTACATCTGCAATGGCTTCGCACGTTTCTAGCAGAAACAAATCTGTATCGATCCCCAATCACTCATATCATGGCTGACAACCAATCCGCTATTGCGCTCTCCCATAATCCCGAATTTCATAAACGGACCAAACACTTCAATGTGAAGTTCCATTATCAGCGATCAGTGCTGAATGCAGGAGAAATTGACCTACAGTACGTTCCCACCAAGGAACAGGCCGCGGATGGTCTCACCAAGCCATTGGGACCTACAGCCTTTGTCAAGTTCTGCAGTCTTTTAGGAATCGACGCTTCGGAGATTCCAAGGCAACGTGCATGACAGCGCAGGCGCTCTTTCCACTTTATTTTCCCACGAAGGTTTTGAGTGGTTTTACCGAGGCCTGACTGCTCTGCACAACTCCAGTATCGCCCTGCCAGCAAGACGATCCTGAGGGGGAATGTTGTGATTTCAGGTTGGTGCAGATCAGGAACAGAGCCGCACCATCGGAATTAATCCCGATGTATCTATACGAAGAATCAAGTTGATTGGAAATCAACTTGTTCTTCTTGATGTATATATAGTCCTATGTTTCCTTCTCAAATATAACAATCAATCTTTCTTTGAATTACAACAACAACAAGAAAGACCGTTACTTCGGATGATGAATTGAACATTTACATGGACTATACCAAGGGACCGATCATTGACCTTGTGAAACCGGAGATGATGTACTTACACACGATTCATCCCCTTAGTACGTGGGCCGTCTTGGTCCGTTGAGGGTTGTAGTTTAGAAACTGTTGTTTCTGTGCTCTTGACGAAGCACCCGAATGCCAGGCTATAATTTTGTAATACAGCTAGACAAAACTCGAACTCGGGCATAAGGCCATGGAAGAATATTTGTCAGTATCGGAATGTCAGAGAACCCAAAAAAAGGGAGCAAAACAAAGTTGCAATATCATCATATAAGATCGACGTGAAATAATGAGGGTCCACATAATCCAAATAGAGATCTCGGGTGAATCCTCAAAGGAGTAATTCCGCCGGGCCGGATTGCTAGGTGATTATTGGAGGACGGGTATGGTACGGCCAATCAAGTTTTCTCCTTTCCCGGCGGGCAGCAGGTCCGGGCAAAGAAGCAGTGGCAAAACTCGATAAGCAAATCTAGCGAATAAGCTATTGACAGCGTGCATAGAGACAAAGCTTAGCTTTTCTCTAGATCCAGACCGGTGTCTGTCGTTTCTAGACTTTAGCAGGATTATAGAACAGGGTTTCAAATAATGCTCAGATTATCTCGTACAATGATCACGTCTTCATGATAGTTGACCCAGTGATCATGTATAATAGGCACTTGCGACTTTTTTGTACCTGTGTTTACACGGCAGATACCAATATTTTTAGAATGTCGCGATGTTGTTGGGATTCATCGGTCTCCGAAGGCTGCCTGGTTAAGAATGCACATTCGGCAAACCTATCTTCGGCCCTTACCGAGAAAACCCAAGTCCCACTATTGATTCCACAGGTGTGTTCCTGATGGCGTAAATTACCTCAAATTGGCCAATCGTGCACTTAACTACTCCACTTTGTTAATAGTCAATGTTGATCATTATCTCCACCAACAACATCTTGGTCTTTCGCGCTCTGCCTTACTATCGATCAGAGTCAGGGGTCACTGTATACTAATGGAGATCATCTAATAGAGATCAACTAATGGAGATCAACTAATGGAGATCAACCTTTTACTTACCTATTTAGAAACACGGTTGATTTTGCAGTGGTTGAGATCATCATTGGCGACTATCATTCCCGCCTCTCTGGAAGCCAACCACTAGAGATATTCCGGCCCATGCCTCTCATCTTGTCTATTTTAATAGTGCCGGGGACTGGCTAGAGTTTGGATTGCCCGTGTCGGTTGCGTATCTACTTGTCATGATCCTTCAATAAACACAAAATTGCGACAATATGACGCTATATTAAAAACCCAACCAACTCTTACAAGGGCCCAATAATTCTTAGATTTCATACCATTTTGGGAAGATTAGCAATGCCACTCAAACATTGGCAGCATGTGGACTAGAAAATGACATAATTAATTTGAGACAATCCCTTTCGGGGCCAATCAGCTTGCCCAACCCAACCCTGATAGAGCTACCAGCTAATTGATTGAACCAAGCGTGGCGACGGATCTAGCCCGCGCACGCTGAGCTGGGTTTCTCCGGAACCCCCATTAGACTAGTCTCCACAGACACTTTGGGAGTTTGTCTATTAACCTGGGGTATGTCTAACAGCGGTTATCGTATATTGCTGGTAATCCCCTGCTCAGCTGCATGCACTGCTATGACTGTTCGGGCAAAGGAAGTTTTGTCAGCTTGGTTAATTTATCGTCAAGCTTTTTGAATTTTCTTCTTGAATTTTCGACTATCTTGAAACTATTCTTTTTTAGATCTGTTTCATTTCTTTTATTGCCACTCGGTGCGCAAGGGCACAGAGAGCCTACCGGGATCGAGCCAGCTAGGCAGATCCAGCCCAAAACATATATCATGCGTTTCTTCTCTCTTTCTGTATCTGGTATCGTTTAATGGATCCGAGGTACTATCCTTACCAGAGAATGACGCGTCTAAGTGAAAAAGGTGGCGTGGGATCAGATACCCAAATCATACTCAGCCATGCCCGCTCGCGATCGTGAAGAATCTTTGGGTAATTCATTGAACCAAAGATGGCTAGAGTTTCGCCCACGGATACGTTGCGCTGGGATCTACCCAGGAAACTTTCAACTTGGTTCCCTTATTATTTGTGGAGGCATGGACAATCCACCCACCAATCTCATGTACGTATAAGTTCTAATGATGCCTTACACGTAATGCTCTTCTTAACTGTTATCTATCGTAATCTAATGTTGCTCCCATTTATTGTCTCTACGAAGAACCGACTGAGATTTTGATCTTATTTTTGCCCTCACGGACGGAACTTGTGCTTGGTGTACTCATTTTATCCTTGGCTTTTGCTGCAGGTGGCAGACTCCCAACCGCACTTGTCGTGAAAGAAGTCCGCCGCACATCGCACCATGCATCAATCATCATCGAGATACTTACGCATGACAGAAGATAAGCGGTTGTTTGCCAGGGTAAGTATAATATCCTGCGCATCCAAATATCGGGCTAGGGAATAGTGGAATATCATCCTTATACTAATTTAGGATTTCATGCACCTGTTCTCTACACTTATAGTCAGTTTGAAGTTGAATTCGCATCGCGTTCATTTTATGAGATACCACCATACGTTTACTTCGGAAGAGGCCATCGAAAAATTGGTATCGCTCAAGTTCTCACAGTCGAATTGGATGCCGGACCCAAAAGATACATCCCGGGCCGTGACCACTATCACTACCACCACCTTCTTAATGGACGAGGGAATGGCTCATTCGGTTTTCCAACGATTCATTGACGCGCGGCTTGTCAAGGCTGTTCATGGAAGTGGTATCCATATTTTTCCGCTTAAAGGATCCCTTTACCAGATTACCCCAAAAGGGCTGAGCATCCTGCAGGGTTTCTGCCAGCGTAACGGAATCGAAGCTCATCCCATGATGCTAGCGATGAAGTCGTCCTACAACATCGTTCAACTGATGAACATGGAGCGTAGTTGGGAGACAGACAAGCTCGAGCATGGCACAACTGCAATCGAAGTGATATTCTGTCGATTTGTTAGGAATAACGAGTCGGAAATCAGGAGAGACACACTAACCTCCGGTGAGCACTCGTCAAATGGCCACTCCGACGATCTAGTTGGAAAGCATACCGCCGCGAAGCGAGGCCCGCAGCATGGCAACGTTCACAGTCACACATTTAACGGAGCTATGGTAGTGGACTGGCTGTTGAATTGGTCGACGACAATTGATCTTCAGGAAGCCTATTCCGTTGCTGAGTTGTTTGTCCAATACAACTTGATTATGATGGTCAAGGGCGACAGGGCTCTCCACGACCGAGCCAATGTGGCTTTCCAGCCTTCCAAGTAGTCGACCTACTGTATCACCGAACGAGGAAACCGCATATGCGGACGAATTCCCGAGGATATGGCCAGCGACAAGACACCATACGACAGCCGCGCTATACCGGGAGGTTCGAATGATACACAATTAAATCACATCCTCCAAGACCCGGTTCTTCGTCTCATATTCTGGGAATTCTTTCGGTTCTCGTTCTGTGAAGAGAATCTGTCTTTCTACTTTGATGTCTCTGAGTTTACGGTCAACTATCACAAAGCAGTAGAAGCCAGTTCACCCAACAGTGCTAGCTGGATCTAGGAGACGCTAGCCATAGCTTACGATTAGTATGTTTGATTTGGCCTGCTTTTCAATCGCCAAGCTTACTTCTGCCCTAGACATATACAATACTTTTTTTGGCCAGCGGCTCCCCTTGCGAGCTGAACACTGACTATGACCAACGAAAAGTCCTGGCTGTTTGGATTATTAAGGCTGCGGAAGCTGAAGAACCTTCTTTACAAAGCCTTCGGGAGATTGTTCGGTTATTTCAACTTGTACAGACTTCAGCTTTCAAGTTGATGGCTTACGTGAGTCCTCCGAATTGTGATCATGTCTCTTGCTGTATCAACGTCTGACGTTCCCTAAGGACTATGTCCCAAAGTTTCTGCATTATTCCAGGTACGTACGCCATTGCGCAGGAACTTAATAGGAAGCATACGGGGCTTCGTGGTCGTACTAATCGACCCATAAGCTGCTCTGTAAGAGTATGCCTTTTATCGAGATTTCGACTTTCGTGCAATGTGTTGTCGGCCTTTCGTCTTGGAGCGCATTGATGCAAAACCTAAGCCATTCATTGATGACGCTGGAGCTACAGGCCGGAAGCCCTGTTAGTTGTCGTAACACCCAAAGAGAATGAGACAATCATCCATAGGAGCCTCAGCTCTGGAAAGGCAAGATAAATTTATCTCACTTGTCGTGTTTTGTCTAAAGTGCACCAACTTACATGGAGTATATTTCATCTTCTATTAAACAACAACGGGGCAGCATTATAAGTCAATACTACTTGGGCTATGAATTGAAAAGTTTCGAAGATGAAAACAGGTCCATACACACTATGCTCAATTTGAGATGAAAAGTCTTCCGAGGAGATCTTTGCCGGACTAGTACTAGATAAAGAGATAGCTCTAATACCTGGAAGCTGCCGCCATCCTTCTACATAACTTGTACCACACGGGATGTCGAATGCAATTTGATTGTACGAAATGGTCTGTACATATTGAAACAATTAAACGCCAACGTAGTATGCTCCCCGGGTCTGTCATGCTTCGCATAAATCATGACCCCAAACATTATTGAAGAAATCCAATCTTCCTCCATCGCGGAATACAAAGCCCCAAGGTTTCCGAGTTCGCGACCTTCGCTGATTGCAGCATTGGAGAGACAGGTGTTTTACCGATCATGTGCATCACAACTGACCCACATGACATATGAACAAAATTTCTTCTTAAGAATTGACTGAGCTGTTTTGCAGGTCTTGTCGTATCAGTGGTGTCTCCACTGCTCATCATTCGTCTCTGCCACTCTGTATATGGCATGCTAAGGATATTTAGATGCCCTGAAATACGACATGCTAAGTCATGCCGGGACTGGCGAACCGGGTTCTCAAGGTGAGACACCATTCGAGGAGGGGCCGCATCAAGAACTATTTCACGAGACAAACTATCACAGCATTAGCATGGCGAACAAAAAAAATAATAAAAAAATGAACCAACTTACTCCATTGAAATGAAACAATGCACCTATTGTCTGAGAGGCGCTGATTATAGCTGGAAAGTGTTCTTTCGTATTCCACAGTCCATTTTTCTGGGGTCCTGTCATTTGTCCAACTCGAACATATGGAACTGGAAAAGTTGCATTTTGCCCTGTGGCCTGTTCTATGAGCTGCTCACAATGATGCTTAGAATGAGCCTAGTCAAGGTCGAGCGGGGTACTTGAATATCTTGTGGGTTCTTCTGACACCTAAAAATGTGCGGAGGTATTTGGGCGATGGCCAATTACTCCTATTGAGGATACAGTATGAACAGAAGTCGGCACGACTATTGATGTCGCGGTAGAGCCCCAATAAGTTGCGGAGTCTTTTGAATTGAGGCTCAAATGCACTAAACTATCGTTTAAAGCTCATTGGCCAAGCGTTGTGAATGATGTGCAGTTTGCGTGTACAAAGGGATAGCGTGTTACGCCTACTACTTACCAACCCGCGTTATCAAGCCATGAAGAGGTCTTGTCAATCACCAATTTGCCCAGTGGTCTATTGGGCCCACCACCTGATATCCCTCCGGTACTATCAATCCGGAGTAACCCTTGACTTGGTCCCCTTTCACTTGCTCCGCCTCGTTAGCTTCTCCTATTTACAAATTTAAACAACGTGCAAGGGGGATACGCGGAACATACAATAACCAGTTTTTGAACTGGTTTAACAGCAGACTGATAGCATGAGCTGATGCAACACTTCTGCCAACTCATAAAGCTGACTTGCATAAGCCTATCACGACAAAGGAACCCCAGGGGCACGGTAGACTTCGAATGCGCCACTTCATTCGATGTACTAAACATTGACTGCGTGAATCACGTAGGGATTGGCAATCGGCCCAATCTCGGAGATGGCCATGGGCTTTTTAAATATCCATCAGCCCTCACTTATTGTTATTCATGACCGTAGTTTGAAGCCCAAGTCCCACTGCACAACAGAGATGGATGTGTTGAGCTCGAGGCATTATTCTCGCTACATATCAAGCCACGTATCAAGCCAGCAATTCTCTCTGGGTTCTCTCCTGCTGTTTCACTTCTCTATGGTATATTGAGACTATCAATCTCACCTTTTATTGATCGGCGTTTCCCCAACGGTGTTAAAAACGGTGTTAAAAACGGTGTTAAAAACGGTGTTTCCAAGGGTTTGAAGTTGTGTAGGTTCCTCGGTTTGATCAGGCTCATCCTTATTACGATGATGCATGTACCCAATGCGAAGGTTTGATTCAGTTCTTGAGCGCCCTCGAGCAGGGAGGCGGGGTCCCCCAGAGACACCTTTATGGGGGTCGGCGAGGCAATTTCCAATTGCCGGGGGTGCCTCCCAAGGCAACGGGCAAGATGCGCTGGCCATTGTCGATCCGCCCTCCTCCATGCTTTTGCCAGGAAGATTTTCGCCGGTCAATCCATGAAACCGGGGTCACCATCAAGTGCATGCGTACATATACTATACTTGTCCACCAGCCTACCTGTATCTAAGCCGCACAACACACAATCAACTCCTGAACATTTGAAGCATAACTTTATAAGCCAACAGTCAGGCCTACTTCGGTGGTTCCTAATGGCCACAAGGCCTGGCAACTTTTATGCTGCACGCTCTCGGTCCATTGGATTTGCCGAATGCCTGAAACTCTGGTTCGCTGCAACATGTACTTGGCCGCATTTTATAGATAGCTTTCTGCATTGTCGTATTTGAAAATGGCAGTCTGGTTCTCAGTCTTTGCTGCACTGCTTTATGTGGCACTGACAGCTTACAGTCGGCAGATTGAGAGGGTACGAATGATATTCGCTCAGCTCTGCTGTCAGCCTGAATGCAACTTATCTGGTCGCTTGAAATTGGCTGCAGAGGTCAAGTGCAGTATCTGCATTGTCAGCGTAAGACCACATAGCCACGACTGACAGAAGTGTCGCTGTATGAAGCCCCTACCGCCGCTATCAGTATCCTGCGAAAGCTTCTAGAAATAGATTTGAAGGTTAGCAAGGTCGACGACATGGTGGGTTAGGATCTAGAGTCTCAATATGGTTGATAGAATTACCTGTAGGAACAGCTGTAGTAGAAATTTCCCCCTCGATGGCAACGACTTTCACCCGACAAGTGTTCTCTTGGGATCAAATGGCCCTACTGTTTGTTATCTGTGTCAGGAAGGAAAAATACCCACTAGCACGAAGGGAAAGACTTACTAACCATGCGTCAGATGCGCGGGCGGGTTGCAGTACATTTGCAATATGCTCCTGGGACAGAAGCCTGATAATGATAGAGGTACTAAACACCTTTGACTTTCAAAGCCGCCCAAATGTCGTGCTCATCCGTGTTGACAAGGGTGCGCGTCGTCAATACTATGACGGAGGGATCCGCTGACAGCTCTGATAAGGCGAGAGGGTCACCTCACTACCTCGCAATGATGAGTTTCTGCTCTCGCTTCTTGGCACGATGTGGAATTCTTGAGACCACCAGGCGGTGATAGCAACCCAATTCGCCCGCAGCAGATAATTGAGAATTGATGCCTTCGCTTCCTGCGGCATCAGTGATCTCGGAATGGGGGCGAGATGAGGCATTGAGCATTTTTCTCATCTACCGTTTCTTCCTAATCACTCTGCCTCGCCCATAACACACACAAAATTCCAAGACAGTTAGTGATGGTTGGCGAGTAGGTCGGCCCGGCTTCCACATTCAACTCCCGCCTAGGGCCGGAGAGGGCCGACACCCGTAGGGTGGCCCCGTATACCGAAGGCCCGCCCGAACCAAACGCCACAACCCCCGGAGGGAAAGTCTAGAATGGTTCCCGCGGGCACATTGGGAGCGACCGAAGGGAGCGGACAACTATGGACATGTTCTACCCAGTTAGGGCCTGATATTCCCACGGGGGATTTGGGAATGGGGGCCTTTCAAGAATCAACCTCCAGGTTCTGATCAAATGAATCTCTCCTCACAACATCGTTCCAAATCTTTCAAAGTGGAGACTTGGCACCATAGAACGAGGTTGATTCCAAGCAGAGCCTTAGAATGATAGAGCCCGTAGGTTTAGCGTGGGATCTTTCATTATGATAACCCGCGGGGCTCGGACGGAAACATTGGACGTCGCCATGACACGTCTAAACACTGAATTTTCACTTCTCGAAATTACCATTGGAGAAGGCCTTCCAATGTAGACCTGAGATCTGAATAATTCACTCTTGTCGAATTTCCCGGACAAGAGGATTGGAGAAAGTCCCAAGACGACGATAGTGGGTTGATCTTGCCCGTCGCCTATGGGAGGCACCCCCGGCAATTGGAAATTGCCTCGCCGACCCCCCTGAAGGGGGTCTCTGGGGGACCCCGCCCCCCGGCTCGAGGGCGCTTGGGCAATGAATCAAATCCGGGCGCGGCCGCAGTTCGGAAAAGTGATTCGATACCAAATGTGGCATTTATGCAGATGAAATGCCCGTATTTTGCGACGATGAGAAGAAATATCGCATTCCTGAAGGCTGACTTCATATACCGACGCGTCAACAGCGGTGGTCAGTGGGGCAAGCATGGCGAGTTGACACATCAACGCGCGATGCATATCTACCACGTGCAACCTCAGTTGCTTATTGGAATCCCTGGCCTTGTCGCTCAACCCCAATCTTTAGAACACTTGGATTGATCTCGATATGTCGTATCTAGAGTGTTGTTCGACTTCGTTCCCATTTAATTTGCTCTTGCCGTGTTAGCCCCTTCCCTGAGCAATGAATGTGCGGCGGGGAGGTAGCAGAAAAGGTCAAGGGTGGATGGACGGCGTGCTGACCGGAGCCTCTCTGAGGCCTCGGCTCATGATACATTCATTCTAGCGCCAGAAACCCTCTCGTATGATCTTTCCCCCAAGAAAAAAAGTATCTAGAAAGAATATCTCCAAACTCGCGGAATCCTTCGAACACACAAATTCATTCGGCGTAGCGAGAGTGAGACGTTAGATAGGGATGGAGGATATGAGACCCTTGAAATCCGAGCCTAGTAGTGATATTGGTCATCTTAACTTTTTCCATTGACGAGTTCGTTGGGAAAAGAATTGACTCACATGGTAGGTATATCTTGCACGTGTGCCTTCTATACGACCCACTACCGTTCTGGTCTGTCCGCCGCAACCATTCTCAGAGAACTGTCGTGGCAAACCGTACTGTAGACTATTTTGAATCCATAATCAAAAATGCTGATTATGAATAAGGCAACTTCCGTCTGCATACTAGATAGGCTCGGCATACACCAGTTCCAGCTGGTGGATCACCTTCAGAGCCGGCCAGCGTGGTTCCACATGGATTTTCGACGATCTGGCTGTGCCTATTAGAATCGGCATGTGATGGAGGGCAGAAATCTCATATTCGCTGTCAACTTCGAAATATCAGCAGTAATGCGAGTTACACTCAGAATTTTGTACATCATAGTGCTAGGATGTTCGTTCATCATGTTCTACATCTGAGATATAACAAATGCTCCCATAATACTTTCTATGTTGACAGTTGCTCACGTATGTTGCTGTATTACCGCTATGAGTGAGTGAATGAGACCCGCATCCAGCACGGACACGGTCGCAATTTTGTGCTCAAAAGAGGATCGGACGTATCCTTTTCTGATTCCCACCCACTGACAGCTTGGGTCAAGATATATTGACACTATTTGCAGCGATGGTACTGTATATCCCCAAGATACCTCATAACACGAGAGGGAATACAACATCCCAGTCTCCAATTATACAATTCTAGATGGGTGATACGACACAGTACCTCGGCCTCATGCAAGATCTTTTTCTAGGGCTGGTGATCAACAAGCAAATGTAAGAAGCATAACCAATGTGGTATGTTAGAACAAAGAGATTGTTAAACGAAGCTGAAATTTACACGACTTTTTCGTATCTGACGTTGTCTCTTCCTTGACGAGTAGTCTCCGTGGCTCTTTTGCTTCATTGCCTCTTGGATGAGACGGCTCATATCACGTTTTTTACGGGATTGAGCAACTTCGGCTGGCATTGCCAAAATACAAGGCAAGTTCGGGCCCTGGAGTAATCTGCTGACCATTGCAGTATCTTCTCGTTTGACCGCTAACAACAGGGCCGTCTCACCCCAACCATTGATCGTATCAATATTGATTCCAGGATGCCCAAGCAAAATATCTAGGATATCAAGTCTTCCGTGACGAATGGCTACACAAAGTGCCGTCTCCTTATCAGGACTGTTCCACTGGTTGATCTGCAGCCGATCACCTTGCCGGACCAGCAATTCAACCATATCACGGTGGCCCTCCTGGGTTGCCAAAAGAAGCGGCGAATCATTGGGTATTTCCAAGGCGTTAATTTGTGTCTTTTTGTGAGTGAGGAGTAATCTCACCACTGCGGTATTCCCTTGTTGTATAGCCAGACAAAGAGGAGATTGAGAGCCCCCGCATAGATTTGGGTCAAGACTCGGCCGGCTTAAGAACCATCCAAGAACGGTTGTATCATTTCTTCTGGCTAGATGGTGGAGCGAGGTAGAAGGGCTATCATATTTCCCACATGTTCCAAGCGTATTGATCTCCACGTCCTTCTCTTCCAGAAGCCTCTGCGTGACACGATCATAGAATGAAAAGGTAGACCACCACAGCGCAGTCCTACCGTAACTGTCTTTACGGTTCAAGAGAGTATTTGCGTGGCGAAGTAGAAAATCCACTGCCAAAAGATGACCGCTCCTTGCCGCTGTGTGGAGAGGTGTCAGTCCCTGTTCATCAACGATATCGAATTCCTCTCCCCGGAGGCGCAGCATTCGTGATATGGAAGCACCTCCGCTACCAGCAGCTGACGCAACCGTTTCCTCACTTCTAGTGAGCGGTGTATCCTGTGATATGACGCCAGGGGATGTCGCTTTCCAATGATCAAGTAGGAGATCTTTGATATTGTTTCTGTTTCTGATGCATGCTTGGATCCATGGCGATATTCCATTCAGATCTTTTGTATCAGGGTTGGCACCTCTTATGAGTAGTTGGCACACAAAGTCTCTGTTTCCTTGAAAGACAGCAAGCCAGAGCACCGTCTGCCCCTCAGAATTTGGGAGGTCGACTTTGAGCTGAGGGTGTTGAAGGAGCTGGGTGACGATGACGGATGATGTTGTCGCCACGCTGTGCCACAGAGCACTCTCTCCCTTGGTATTTCTCAAGTTCACGCGCAACCTTCTCTTCTGCAGTAATACTTTGATCACCAGCTCCGAGCCGTGATCTGCGGCTGTCATGAGAGGGGATGAATCGTCAACTAGTGCATTTACGTCGGCTCGGTAAGAGATTAACGCCTTTGCAAATGCACAATTATTGGTCTTAGCAGCCCAATGAAGCGCCGAGCTGTTTTGGTGCTTGATATTGTACTTTATTAGCGCCAGACGCAGCTTGGGATAGAGGTTTCGGTGGGTCTGAGCAAAAGCAGAAATCTGGCCGCCCGATAAGGTGCTGGCTATGATCCAAAGAATCTCCGTTGGAAAATCGATAATGGAAACCTGTAGAGTATATTCAGCATTCAATTCCATTACAAAGCATCGATTTCTCATACCATTGCCTCAACCCTCAAGCTGTTGACTTTGTGAAAGTATATGCAAAGAGGTTATGAGGTGTTTCCTCTTTCCAAGGCGATGCATGAAGTTTGATGCAAAGTAATGAAACTAATGCAGCGTATTTTTGGGCGATTTAGCATTGCAAGGACCAATCAATTTGGGAATTAGGGGATATGAAGAGCTTTAAGTATCACTAAGCGAAAGATTGGATGCTTGACGATGCAATCTTGCTGCTGTAAATTGCGCTTCAGTTCCCAGGCAGACTATAGAAGCCTCCAGTATTCAGAACCGTGGCTCCGGGAGTAGTGACCGGGATCCCAGGGACAAGGCGGTTCCCAGGACCGGCATATACTTTCCCAAGACATTCAATAATGATCTCATTACCGATTCATTCTCAGGCTCTTGGTTATTTGGAACACATCATCCATATCTGGTCCACAGTAATGTCTACTTGAACAACTTGAGACCCTGAATGATCCACCTTTCTTCCCTCGACATATTTGAGTTTTTGTGCTAAATACGAAACATGCTGGACAGACTGCCAAATTAATTTTTACTTTGGATCTGCAGAAGCCTCGATGGGAAAGAAATCGTTCAATTGACCATTTGCTGCTGCTGGGCAACTGCGCAAACTTGCACCAAATATCTCCTTGATTGTCTGCCCCACGATGAGATGCCACCCCTTCATCGAGCCATACTCGCAAGACGACTAGACATTGCGGGCCTTGTTGGATCTTTATCAGGCAAATCCCAACTCCGAGTACCGTGGGACGAGCACGCTTCTTCTCGCCATTGAGATGAGCTATCCACAAGCAGTTAATCTCATGTTGGAACATCACCCACAGCTATCCTATATTTGCGACTTTCAAGGTCAAGGGCCATTGTCAAAGGCGGTCGAAAAGGGCAATTTTGCCATCGTTGAACGCCTGTTGCAGTACCCAGCGCTGGATGTCAATGACCGATGCACCGATGGCATGTCCGCTTTGATGTACGCAGTGGAAAACGCCGAGCACGCCATTCTAAACTATCTTCTGACCGATTCCCGCGTGGATGTCAGCATCGAAGATTGCTTTGGGCAGAATGCGCTACACCTCGCAGTCCGAAAGGAAGACCATATCTCAGTGCAGATCCTGGCCCGAGACCCTCGCTTGGATGTCAATTGGTGCGGCACCCACCGAAATACGGCACTACTTCTCGCGGTCAAAATCCTCAGGAGGAGGTCGGCGCGTGGGATAGTGGAGGCCCTACTGCTCAACCCAAAGCTTGACATCAATCACCAGGATTCTAGAGGGCGCACGGCGCTGTGGCACGCGGTGGACCTGCAGAATGAGGAGCTAGTGCAACTGCTCTTGGACCAGAATGACCTTCATTTGAATGACGCGGATGATGGAGGTCTTACCCCTCTTGCGCGAGCAGCGGAGCATCAAAGCCCTCGCTTGCTACAGATGCTTCTGAGGCAGCCGAAAATATGTATCAATGTCACGTCGAGCTTGGTTTCCCCGCTGTGGGCCGCGTGTCGGGCGGGTTCGCTCGGGGCAGTCCAGAACTTGTTGACCCAGAGGTCCATTCAGGTCAACGTAAAAGCCCCCTCTGGAACTTCGCCCCTTCACGTAGCTGTCATCAACCAACACTTAGATATTGTGTCTCTTCTTCTCTCGCAAGGTGAAATCGCATTGAATGAGGTTGGGCCCTGGGGCTTCACAGCCCTCATGTTTGCTGCTGCAAGGGGGTATATTGCATGTGTTGAACGGCTGTTGCGCCACCCACAGATTGATCTCCAAGTTCAAGATCCTTACGGATACTGCGCTTTCAGCTTGGCGATACTCAATAGACATGCTCGGGCAGTGGATCTTCTAAGCAGTGCATTTGTGCGGCAGAGAGCACAAAAATTAGGCTGCCCATCGGGCTAGCTTTCCCAAGACTGAGTGGAGGAGAAATAGAAAATTTGAGTAAAGTTACTTTGCCAGACTGCTATACTCCCCATCTTAGAGTCAGATGACTCGGTCATTGCTATGTAGCTCAGCTCAGCGAGCACAGACGTTAGCCAACAGTCCACTGGAAAGTGCGGTCCGCTCAATCACTGATTTTCCCGGTTCAAGTACACAGTACTTGAGTATAATACCGTAGCACTGGCTGTCCTAAAGCTCCATTTTTCTCTGCTATTTGAGCGATTTGAGCGTGACATGAGCGTGGTCGGCCGCGAAACAAGATCCCAAAGCGCCGGATAGAAGCCTCTGTTCTAGCTTCACTGATGGCCCGCCCTCCGTCTAATGCATCGAGTGTATACAGTCGCTCGCCAGATACACCAAGACCACACTCCTCGACGGCTTTGCCTGCCCCCCGGGATGATCTTCCCGAGATTACACCACTGGACCATCGGATCTTTGTGGCGGGGAGAACGACCATGGCATTAGAGACCACAAAGACACACCTCAGTACAGCAAAGAGCGTGGCACAATCCCCATTAGACCCAATCACTGAGAAGCGCGGCCAACGTGATCAGCAAGCTCACGAAAATGAGTTCTTCCGCACCTGCTGCACGAATTTCCGCCATCTAGCGACCGCCGTGGTTGACATCACACGAAAGCTTGTATTGGAAGATCATTTCCATTCCGACCAATTTATCCCAGTCAATGCACGCTTGTGCCGGGCTACATTGGCTCTTTGGGCAGCCTTGGACGCATCAAGGGTGGAGGAGGACAGGGCGGAACGTATTTGGATGCAGGAATTGGATATGCCGACAGCTTCGGAGCCATCTTCCGAGTGGATCTAGGGGAAATTTGGCATCGTATGCGATTGAAGGTCGAGCTCGTCGAGTCTTGGGTATTGGGATCTAAGAATATTCAGTGAGACGTGACAGGCGAGGTGACAGCCCTGGATGAGAGTGGCGAATGCGTACATTCGTTTCAGGTGACGATGTGAGGGCCAGTTGGACAGTCAGCTACCCTGGTCTGACGACCAGCCCTGACGGTGGCAGTTGGCGGGCCAGGCTTTGTTGATTGGCTTGCTTTAAGAAGGCGGTAGCAATCACTTCCGGATGGCGACTGACCAATCATGGTGGCTTTTTGGGGTTCAACTTGGCAACCTCAGTTGAACCCCCTCTCGGGTTCCCCCCCCAACCCTGGACCTACGATTACACCGTTCTCCTTCTTGTATGTGGTCTGTTTATATCGAAATTCTAATTATAAAGTACGGATATTCATCCTCGTTCAACTCATTTGCCTAATAAATACAGTTCTGCCCTGTTTATTGGGTTGTAAAATTCCTCAACATTAAGCCATACGTGTTGTGATATAAGGCTGGTGCAGATCAGGAACCAAGCCGTCCCATCGGAATTAATGCCGAAATATCTATATACAGAATCAAGTTGATTTCCAATCAACTTGTTCTTCTCGTTGTATATATAGCCTCATATTTCCCTCTAGATGACAATAACAATCAATCTTCCTTTGATTAACAACAGGTTATGAGCCCGGGAGCAATCTCTCGGGTGCCGTCTCTACTCATCTGAGAAACATCTTATCTATCCATCTTGATTATATATCTACCCCGCTTTCAACAACAGGTTATGAGCCCGGGAGCAATCTCTCGGGTGCCGTCTCTACTCATCTGAGAAACATCTTATCTATCCATCTTGATTATATATCTACCCCGCTTTCAACTCATCAACTTATCATCATGTCGGCTCTGGTCCATGACTCCCCAGACCGAGCCGTCACGGCCATCGAGCCTCTGACAGGAAGCGACAACTTCGCTACCTGGAAACGTCTCATGACCTCCTACCTCAAAGCGAGACAGGTCTGGGACGTGGTGTCGGGCGACCTCCAGCGTCCTGACTGCCTGTTCAAGTACGCCAAACCTATTACGGCGGACATCCACCCCTTGGTGGAGCCCCACCTCAGCGGGGCGGTGAGGCAGCGCGCCATCGACGCGCGCCTCGAAGTGGAGGTCCAGGCGTTCGAGCGCCACCGTGAATGGTCGCGCCGCGAAGCCGAGGCCTACCATACTATCTTCCGTTACTTGTCCCCCCACATCAGCATTCATGTCGCGGGACTCGAAACATCTCGCGACCTCTGGAATGAACTTGAAGAACGGTATCGGCGGATGGAACTCGCCACGTTCTGCGAGCTGTTCGCCCAGTTGCGTGAGACCACAGGCGAGCGCTGTGGCAGTGCACGCGAGTTTGTCGATCGTGTACGGATGTTAGTACACCGGTTGAATGCTATCGTCCCCGGATCAATCGGCGACCGGACGCACATTGCGATTCTGTTGACTCAGATCGGACCAGAATACATCTTGATTGTAGATGCGATCCAAAATGACAAAGATCCAGTCAACCCGACCACGATCGGAAACCGTCTGGCAAATGCAGAACAGACGGTGCAGCGGAAGGACGCCGCAACGCTCCCGCATGGAGCGTCTGGCGCATCGAATAGCCCTTCAATCAATACCGTGCAGAAGAATACCAAAAAGTGTAACTACTGCAAGAAGCGCGGCCATGTGGTCGCGCAGTGCTGGAAGAAACAGCGAGAAGAACAGCCGTCCAGGGACCATGCCCTGAAGGCCGAACGGAGTGTTTCCGGCTCACCAAGAAGCAATTTGCGAAGTATACCATCAAGCCAGGTGGAAGAACGGCAGGGCCCGCCGACTTCCAAGAGACCGCGGATCAATGTTGTGAGGGCGAGGGTGACGACTCTCTATACCCACGCACCGTCACCCCGGTGGATCCTGGACTCGGCTGCCACCAGCCACATCTGCTGGGACCGGAGCTGCTTCAGCAGTCTGCGGCCCCATCGCGAGATGTTGGACACGGCGGGCGATCCAGTGGAAGCCGAAGGGATTGGGACGGTGAAGCTCACGCTCCGGGGGAAGTTCAACCAACCCCTGGTGCTCAAGAACGTATACTTCGCGCCACGCGTCGGGATGAACCTGATCAGTGTGCCGAAGTTGCTAAGAGACCGCTACTCGGTGGTAGCGCACCCGCAGAACGTCTTTGTGCAAC